TGTCCACTCAGTTGGATTATCTGGGTGGGGAACATACTGTATCTTCTCCTCAACTTCTACAAACTTCTGGAGACTGATGTTACGGGTAGTAAGCTGCATTGACTGTGACTTTGCATCAACAATTGTGGATTCAACACAGTGGCAGATATCCTGACCAACAATCTTGCGAACAAACCATGACCCGGGAGCATGAATGGTGAGGCCACGAGTAGTGTAAAGCGTCCCAGAGACAGGGTCAACTTTGTGGTTCAATGTGTCAACTTCAAGGATGTGGGACAAGGTACGCTTATTCTCAGGATCAGCAAATTTGCGCCAAGAAGCAGAAGTGACTCGCTCCCAAGGATGCTTGTAGACATGCTCTTGCTTATATGCTTTCACCATCGTGTTCTTCAGTTCCCTTCATGGAAAACAATAAAATTCAGAAGTTGATGCGCATACATGATTATTTTAGGCCAAGTTAAGATCTTCATCCCAAAGAAAGCAGATTCTTTCTAAACAAACAATTGAGAATAAAACAAGCTTTACTGACCCAGTTTTTCGCAACTTGAAAACTATATACTCTAACCAACTCCTATAAAAATTTCAATCATGGATATTTCTGGAGAAACCAATACCCACAAGGCCACAAGCACATGACTTTATCTGACTATGAACTACCATTGAGCAACAGTCCATGTGTATTTGTTAGCTATCTTGCTCAAGGTCCAAAACAAACCAAGTAAAAGGGTCCTATAGAAAAAAGCATCCCAGAGCAAGACGAAATATATAAATAAAAGTAGACTAAATTCCCAACAGCCAAACCCCAATTTGATTAATAAATACTAAAATGCAGCCGCAGCAGCTCCTTCTTTAACATCCCAACATGGATAAATCAAGAGAAACACAGTCTGAATAAAACCCACTAAAACAAATGTAGTTCGTATGGAATCTAAATCCTACCCATCAATTTGGTACCCTAAAAAAAAAAACAAAAAACCAAGAACAGAAATATGGATTGAAAGGTTATGGTAAGCATCATCCTATCCAATCCAAGTATCCAACTTCATCAAGCTAACTGGGGAAAGGGAAAATGATAGACCTTGCAATCCCAAAAGACGCATAAACTGGATTATAAAGGGGAAATCAACCTAAATCGATAATGGGTATCGCAAAAGCTCAAAAACATTAACAAAATTGCAATTACTCAGATATACACAGAGACATGATTAAGAAAGATAAAAATGGTCAATGCCAAAATACAGATCGAAGAAGCAATTAATGGAGAATAAAGATCGAAACGCACCTTTGAGAGAAGCTGCAGAAAATGAAATCGTAGTGATCAGAAAGCGAATGGGTGAAATTGACGGGGAGTGTGGATTTGTCAAGCTTTGATGTTGTGCTATTTTCCAGCGGCGGATGAAACCATGGTCCTCACTATTTACTTTTCTGCAGTCCACAGCCGCCTCAATAAATCAGGCCCAATATATCTTGTTTTAAGCCCAACATATCTTCCCGTCCAATAATATTCTTATTTTACAATTCCATAAACATAAACTACAAAATAAGAAATTCATTTAGTAATTGAAATAACCAAAAAAGTACTGCACTTGGGCCTGGTCTAATGACGTTAAGTCACGTATAAGTGCATTTCCCTACTCCCAGAGTAACAGTTTGAATCCAACCCCTTGCGAATTTGTTCAAAAAAAAAAAAAAAAACAAAAAAAGTACTAATGTAGAGAAAAAATGCAAGCAAAAAAGAAAAAGAACAATATGATTTTACACCAATCTGTGCATGCAAAATTGTAAGGTTAAACCCCTAACTTGATCCCTTAACTGTTATATAGATCTTTAAATTAAAAATCTTTTTAATTTGGTTCTTAAAATTTTTAAATTTAACTTCAAGTTAATTTCTCTATTAAAAAATAACTAATATATTTTATTACTAATTTAATACGTGGTTGTCAAGTAATAATCTTTTGCCTTCAAGTAAGGGGATATGTCAATTATTTTTTAATAAAAGAGCCAACTTAAAGTTAAATGTATAAAATTTAGTGATCAAATTAAAGATTTTTTTAATTTAGAGACCAATTTATAAGTCTGTTAAAGTTGAGGGCCTAATTAAGGGGTTTAACCTAATTACAAACTCAAAATTTTCACATTTGTAATCTTCAAAAATTACAAAAATCGGGTCACTTAATATGGATCCGATTAACAGTATTTGGGGTCAGTAATTTTTTTTATCTTATTCAAGAAAAGCTCTAAAATCTTTTAAGTTTAACCGTTAAGGCATAGGGGGTCAAGAATAGTAACCAAATTGCATAAAAGAAAAAAGTAGGGAGGCCTTTTAGCCTTTACTTAGGTCCCGTTTGGTATAGCGGTTTTGGGGTAGCGATTAGTGATTTTACCTAAACCGCTAAATATAGGTGTTTGATAAACATATATATTTCGAAACTGTTACAAATAAAGTGTTTGGTAAAATTTTTATTTAGCGGTTTGAGACTAACAGATAGCGATTAGAGTCTAAACCGTTAGCGGATTGAAAAAACTAGTTTATGTAATTTTTTGTACCAAACCGTTAGCGGATTAGAATTTTTTAATTTTATTGATCAATTTATCCATTTTAATTTTTTAATTTTTGATCATATTTTTTAATTAATATTTATCTAATAAATTTCAATTTTATTTTTTACCTTTAATAACATTAAATGATTATAATATTTTTTGTACATTAATTT